GAAGTTTGTTTTGTGGTCACCTTCTCTATGTGTGATAATAATTGCTGATGTCAATGTAATAATTTTTCCTATTTTAATACGAGTTTGAGATCTAAATTAATCAAGTCACTTGCTTTTAAAGATAAAGACGTCAATGTTTAGCACCAAAGTTTGTGATAATTAGGATGTTGTTTGAAAGATGCTTACCATTTTTGAAATTATTTCTTTGTGAGACATTAATTTTTCACTTATTTCAAAGAAAAAAGGGGGAGGGTGGATGGAATTGTTAAGCAATTGTATGTATATTGTGATTACCTGTTTTTGGGTAGATGTTGATATTAAATGTTTGGTTTGACGTATTTTTGTTTAAGTGGAAATGACGTAATGTTGTATAGCTTTATGTGATTGAGTAATGGCAGGAGGGAACAATATAGTTTTGTTTATAAAGATACTTTATTTTGAGAATCAATGGTTTGTGTAGTTAATATAATAACAAGACAAACGAAACGAAAGAAACCTTGGTAAGAGCCTGTTCGTTAAACGCCTTTAATCGACTGTGAAAGTAAGTGATATTATCGTATATATGTTATTTTTCATTAATACTAAGAAAATATAGATATAATGCATGAATGCTTCTTAAATGACACCTTATCAACGAACGTGACAGCCAAAAAAAACCAGCAACATTATATTAATTTGTCATTAACTTTTACCACTAATCTTTCTATTACGTATAATTTCCCAAAATACTTATTTTTACTTACACTTTTTTGGTTTGTAACGCAATCTTGTCTTCGATATCTTTGTTTGATTGGTTTATAAAGATAATAACAGAAAATCTATGATTCACTGTTGCTTCATTTATGATTTGCCTTATTTTCTTTCATTCAGCAAATAAATCAAAAGTATAACACGGTTGATTCAACATTTTAGTTTTTCTTAACAAGTATTATTTTCTTTTATAATTCGGAAAATATTTAGTACCAGTAACTCTTAACCAACATTCCTTCACATATGACAGCCAGGGGCGATGTTGTATGGTTATTTATGAATCTTAGCTTCATCAGAGAAACTATAATGTTATAGGAATGATTTGAAAATTATATATTTTTTTTTCAAAATGTTTTTAACCTATTGATCATCATTTCATAACAATGGAACATTTAGGCAATGTTTTAGGAAGTAACTTAATTTAAAATGTAACTGGTTTCTTTAAAAAAAAAAAAAAAAAAAAAAAAAAAAAAAAAAAAAAAAAAAAAAAAAAAAAAAAAAAAAAAAAAAAAAAAAACCACAAAGGGAGGTCATTGTTCGTAATTTACTTTAGTAGTTATATTTTAGTTGTTATCTACTTTCCTTAGAAAATTATGGATTGTTGGTTATGCTTTGGCTGATCTTTTAGAAAAAGAATAAATTATTTAGACGATCAATAAATTCATACTTAGTTTTAGTAGATTTTGTAAAAATAACTAAACTTCAAAATGTATATTTTGCGTTTTTAAGATGTTGAATTTTAAAATCAACATTATTTTAAATATGTTGATGAGTGAATTGGGCGCTCTATACTTGGAAAGAAACGCATCTATTAAAATCAAACGGATGGGGTACCGTATGAAAATTACAATGGCTGAATAAAAATTCCATTGTGGAATACACAGTAAGAGTCTTGAGAACCTGCTGGTCTATTTCCTAGCGTTTTGACCAAGTCATGTAATTGTAAACAAATAGGCAAGGGCGAGATAAAGAGGCTGACGAAATTAGCTACTGCCGCTCATTTAAAAAAAAATAATTAAAAATGAGAATTATATCAGTATTTAAGAAATTGAAGAAATTAAGACACACACATATAAAAAGCAACAACATGGACACAACACTTTCAGTGAAGCCAATTTTAAAATGCATAGAAAACAATAACTTCAGTATTGCATTCACGAATTAATTTTAAAGTCTTTATATATGAAAGTAAAACCTATATAAAAATAAAATATTATTTTATGCTAGTAAAACGGTTTCACAAAAATAGTAGAACATAAATTTTGTGGGCATGTGAACTTTGTGTCCGTGTATGTGATATCATAGCATTGGTGAAAACTTCTTATACACTGTTGACTTCAAATATAAACACATTCGTCTTCGAGCTCTAATGTCATTGTATCATTTAAAATGTGATCGTTTAATTATTTGATTAGGCTAAACTAGTTTAGAAATTAAAGATCCCGAGTAAATAGGTTTCATAAAACTGTTTGAGAAATAGTGAAACGCTCGTAAAGGGAACGATTCGAGACTCGATCTGTAGGTTTATGATATGTATTGTATAAATAAAAATATAATAGAAATGTAAAATAAAATGTCTTATTTAATGAGATCAATTGTACATTATGTAATTTTGCATGGAAATGTAAAGCAGTTGTGTAATAAAAACATTGTCAAACTTCATACAATTTTAACCTTGCGTACTTGACTTAATTTTGTTATCGCTGTAAACTCGTTTGACATAAATTTGTTTTATTGCTTCACTCATATACAACTAAATGAATACAAGTACTAACATACATCACGCAATTATTTTCCCCCATAGTTAATAGACGATTCTAATTTTAAAAAAAAAAACAAGAACCAACCCTAGCTACAAGAAAAGATAAGATATATTTTAATCCTATCACATATAAATTTTGCTTGTTAAAATTGCCCAAATTGTCTTTTGCATTTTGCTTCAATAAACAATTAGAGTCAGATTTATGCGATTATAATATTACATAGCTTCCTAACATGTAACAAAACAATGTTATTCCAATGTTACTTAACACATTCCTTGCAAAATGATGCTAAATAGGCAACCAAGCAATTTTATTTATAGGGCAAAGACCGATAGCATCAAATTATATAATGCTAAAAAGTGTAAGAAAAACTGTGTGGAAAATCGGAACAGGTCTCTACAAATATAAATAAAGGATAATTCAATTTTAATTCACCGCAAAAATTATTATTATTCACACTTCCAATAAAACAAATGTTCTTTCGCATTAAAACATATTTCCTTCTTTTAAAGTCCTCCGCTAATGTGGTGGCCAAATTTGAACAATATCGTCTAGAATGGCGTTGAAGACATTCAAACCATTTGCTTTAAGACGTCGACGTCACATGAACTCACACATATAAGAAACGAGCATATGTCTGTGTTTGCCATTGTCTCTCTCTTTTGCCAATGTCCACGTATCTTCTATGCGTATAGTATTGGCATTCCGTTAACTTTGTTGCTTTTTGCACATCGTCTGACAGCATGTAATGTATAATATCGTGTTGTTATTGAACGAAGATACAACTGATTTCACTGTGAACTAAGGCAGAAATTGTCAAAGAATTCATCGTGTCTACAGAGGCAGTTGTATTTATTAAACCGGATATAACAGCATAGACATAGAGTAGTTGTAATGATAATTTTTGCGGTGAATTAAAATCGAAATACCAAGTAAAGAAATTACATTTAATTATTAAATTTCATATATCTCTCCTGCCTATTCTAAATTTATTTACTGATTTCATGGCCTGCTGCTGTTCAGTTTTGTGTGATCTAAATGCAACTTACGAAAAAAAAAAACAAAAAGGAAAAAAACTCCCCCCCCCCCAAACTTTCCACACACACACACACACTGAACAAAGGCATACCTTAGAAAGGCTTTTTTGTAAAATGCTGGATAATGTTTCAAAAGCCTATTCTAAATTTATTTACCGATTTCATGGCCTGCTGCTGTTCAGTTTTGTGTGAACTAAATGCAACTTAAGAAAAAAAAAAACAAAAAGGAAAAAAACTCCCCCCCCCCCAAACTTTCCACACACACACACACACTGAACAAAGGCATACCTTAGAAAGGCTTTTTTGTAAAATGCTGGATAATGTTTCAAAAGACCAGATAGACTCAGATGGGGCAAATATGGAAGTTAGGAAGGGGTGAAATCATTTATATATCGCATTGGGTGACAACTTCCATAGCGACGCCACTTACAAGAAGGACATGCTCAAAAGATCAGAAACACTTCCTCTTGTCTCACCAAATATCGCCAGACCATCAATAAATTTTGTCTCGAGTTAATCACGTGATACACGAGGCGCTCAAAACAGTAAGGGACGTTATTTTAGGATTTAATGGCGAGATAAATCTTCAGGTGCGTGGTATTGGCATTGACGTAATTGTTTAAGCAGGAAGAAAGTAGCCTAGCAAAATAGGAACTGTGTAGTGGGATCTAAGTACTTGTACTCGTATTAAATCAGCCAAAAGACACAACAAATGTTAAACATTTTCAATATAACATAAAAAAAAACAATTTGTAAATAAATATTTGATTAAGCCGAAAACGAATCCTAAATAAAAACAGTTTAAAAAAAAGTAAAACTATATTCCTTCCTTTTCCTACTTTTCCTTTTTTTCCTTCTACATTTATTTTCTTAATCAATGAAAAATATATTTTCATAAATAAACTTGCTAACGTTTAGGCTAATACTTGACTTAGGACTAACATGTCAACAACTTATATATTTCGCCAATGTTAATATTCAAACAAAATACTTAGCATCAACTGTCGCATCAGCGTTTTTCTAAAATTTTAAGTGTTGCTGAACGATTGACAAGTTTCAAAATTAAACCCATCAGCAGTGCAAGATTTAATAATTATCGTTTATTTTGATTTTAATATACATATTTATGATGTGCGGGCCAGCGACGTTCGGCTAACGGATCGCTCCAGACCAGCGGATCACCATTGAGGAACGCTGCATTATATCATCAGAACAGTACCCAAGGTAAAGGTGTCATCACCAACTATGGGTTATTTTGTACAGTTTTTAAATCTTGCAGATTGAGTAATAAGGAATAATGACCTAAAAAGTAATCGATTTGATATTAAACATGATGGATTTGATTACGTTATACCAGTGCAAAATGTTCTTTTTTTGTAGCTCTGACACTTGGCAGTTTTACTACAGACATTTACAGGTTATGGTTTTATTAAGGGTAATAAAATTGAATGCATACATTCAACGCTTTTGTTTAGATGTACTTATTTCTTGAGAAGAACGTATCTTTTGAGATGTACCCATTCCTTTTTAAGGCTGTTTAGGAATATATATCCTATAGTTTAAAATAAAGTGGCATTCTAACAGTGGTAATAACCAAGATATTTGTCTTCTTTAAAGTTTGTTTTTTTCTTTACAAAATAAAGCCAAAATGAATAAGTCAATAATTCTACCTATGAGGAGATGTGTAGCTAACATAATTTATAGTTTGCTGTTCAGTTTGTGTACAGGTAAGATTTGATTTTTTAATTTTTTTTTTTTTAAACTAGTTAAATTAATGATGTTAAGTCAATTTTAAATAAATGATGCAGAGTTAGAATTTTGATACTTAAAGATTAATTAATGTGCATGTATTGCAATTTCGAGGAAATTTTACACAAGTTCCATGAGCACCACCCTAGACCTTGCCAGGAAATACGTGGTACACCACTAGTAAAATGTAATGAAAGTTCAAGTATGAGAAATTAGCTTGTTATAGAGTGAAAGTTATTGAAACATGGCGTGTAATTCTTAAAAGATACACCGGTAGCTCAATGTTAGCTGACATGTACTGGATGCATTTCTGTTGCTGCTGTGCGAGTTGTTGTCTACTGAAATCCACTTTGAAGGCATACTCGTTAAAGTTTTCAATAATTCCTTCGAGAAAGTGGTAATTTTATTTTGGACTGTATAACTAGAGCAATCAATCGATCTGTAAAAGGCGAGTGCATTAGTTCGACTTCTTGTTAATATGTACAATTTATTTTTAAAAATATTTTTTTATGCAATCTAGATTATCATATTAACATATCTATACATACATGTCATGGAAGATCTAGCATCTTTTATGGCATATCTATCTCATCTCGTGGCAGACCTAGTATCATCTCATGCCTGATCTAATTTTACACCGTGGAAATTTCTAGCATCACCTCTTGGCACAAAAGGCATCATCTCACGGCACAACTAGTATTATCTCTCAAAACACCTAGCACCAACTCGAGGCTAGCTGGATTTTCAATTTTGTCTAACTATGATGATTCACATTGGAAACTTGCTAAACAACTGGTGGATCACGTTGGCATACGCCTATCACTTTCCATTTGCAATTGATTCAACCATTTAATATGTGGGATAGAAAATAAGGTTGACAGAAACTCTAGGAGAACAGAAAGATGTCGGTGAGACGTGATCAGTAAAATATCATCTGTTCGTAAAATATTGTTTCTGCTACAATTGCATTTCTTTGACATATTACTCAGAACATTTGCTAAAAAATGTTTATAGAAACATATTTTTTTAAACAGAACTTCATGCCCAGACAATCATTCTAGATTCAAGTTTTGGAGTTGGGGCTACTTGTTCAAGGGATCTAAGAGCTGGGATTGACTTTTTTATAGCTCGAGGATATGTTGACGCTACAAATGGGAAATTTTCAAATTTTGTTGATTTTCAAATACAGACAAAAGATTCAAATAATTTCAATGACGTAAGTATTTAATAACTAATTGATTCAGCTGATAAAACTAATGTTGATGTAATATTTATTTATAATTCTACATAAAATCTCTATTCCATTTTTTTACACATGCGTTTAATATAATTAATTTACAAAAACCTATTTCATACTAAAGCCGTATCTTACAAAAGTAAACGTAGATATCGTACAAAAGCCCGTTTTTCAAAGCTGAAAACCTGCATATTACGCCTAAAAGCTGACACCATAATAATAAGCCAATGTAAGCCATACTGTATATACGATACTAGGATATCAAAGATACTAGAATATTCTACAAAATTTAGTCTTTCCTTTGTTATAATAGATGTTTATTGTACATGCGCTTACATAATAAAAATAGTGAACCATCTGCTTTTCATGTCTTTGCTAAACAAATATTTTCTGGTACCTATCTTCTATCACCTTCTCATAAGTTGAATACCCGCTTTTTCCTTTAAAGTATACATTGATTTAAAAGCGTCTTTAGAATAAGTAGCAACGTTATCAACTTCAATTTTGTTGGGGTTTTTTACGCCATTTTTTAATGTTATACAATAATATACATCAAAGGAATCCGTGCTTAAGTAAAGTAGCCTAGAAACATTGACATAAAACGTAATATTTCTTTCAAGCCTATTGCCCAACGTGGAAAAATGTGTATAGCCATAAAAGAAACTATATTGTAGTAAAAATACGCCTAAATATTCATTCTTATCATATTTTTAAAGGAAATTGTAAATGGTGCCTTTCTTCGACTAAAATAAGTGAAAGCTTAAATATCTCTAGGCTAGATAAATTTATGATCAGTAAATTTAAGGCTAACGACGTTGGAGGACAATCCAACAAACTTTTTTTTTAAATTTGAAGCCACTGATTCAAAGGAAAGCAAACACACACAAATGTAAGGAATATATCGTCTGTGGAATTATCTAAGTGAAGAATTTCCGTGTGGGTTTTTGAGTGCGCAGCCCTTAATGATGAGTATTCGTTTCTGTAACATTGGTGTAGGGATTTCCTTGTGGGAAACGAAAATACATTTCTGTATCATATAGTTCTTTAGGATCAATGATCAACACAACCATTTGAGAGTTTAGAGTTTGAACTAATTTCTTTGATGCCTTTAAAGCATAAAATACACATAGTCAATAAAGATCACTATAGAAGACCATACAAATTAATATATATTTTTTTTTATTCTTCTCTATATTTTCCAGCTATGCACTGCCAGTTTGATTACTTGCGTTATCCCAAACCCCCAACCTTGCTACTGTGCTATCCGTTATGGAAATATATATCAAATCGTGGCTAACAGATCAGCAGTCCTCGCTGACAGTAATGCTAAAATACGTGTTCAGTGGAATAGCGTTGATGGGACAAATGTTTGGAGCAATGTGGTCCAAGTACCAAAAGTCTATGGTAGATATAAAATGAATTCCTACTTATTTTTATATATTTTATTTTATTTACATACTAAATATGTCCCGAGATGCCACAAATCGGCTGTATGAAAAGCAAATTTTAATGTGGGATTTTGTTTTACATGCCACAACAGGGAAAGAATGGAGATGGAATACTGGGCATTTTAGATGGCGAATTTCTGGTATTCCAGATAGCCATCAATGTGCCTACTAAGGAATGATTAATAATGAAAAGTGCACTTTCATTAAAGATGTAGTTATAATAAACTGCTATTCATTAAAAATGATATCTAAACTTCAAGTGAATCTTTAAATATTATAGTTCTAAAATTAATGTTTTATTTAAATTAATTATACAGAAATACTTACATTAAAACGATGATAATATTATTTAAATATACCAGGGCTTGGTGCTTGGACATTATTTATTCTTAGTTTAATCAATGACCTACCAGAGAATAGATCTCCAAAGCAATAGTGTTCACAGACACAACAGTGGTGAATAGAACGAACGCTACCAGTTTTGACCAGGAAAAGCTACAACATGATCTCAATCGGTTAGCTAAGTAGGATATGATCTGAGAAATACAATTTCATGCCGCTAAGTGCCATAAATCGCCAGTTCCACAAGTAGAACACCTCTGAACAACCATTACCAACCGTAAGGCCATATGCTAGAGCAAGTTTGCACCTTAAAGTACCTTGATGTTACACTTCAAAGAGAGGTCCTCTAGGACGAGCATAGTAACAATGTGTGTAACCGTGCCAACAAGACCTAAGGGTTCCTAACACAAAATTTACATATCGGCAACTGCAGTCTGACAGAAAACAGCCTATGTCCGGCCGCTTTTAGATTACACAACTTCAGTCTGAGACCATTTCACCCATGAGGAGCATCGACAGGTTGGAGGCGGTTCAACGGCAGGCAGCACGCTTCGTTCTGAATTGCTGCACGAAAACCTCTAGTGTTGGCAGCATGCAGGCTCTCCATGATGCACAAGATAAAAATGGGCTGATCCAGTGCTTCAGGTTAAACAGAAAATCTTATCTCTGCCACTTAGACAGTCAAGACGCCATGACAGCCAGTCCCGGCTCATAACAGCAAGAATACAGTAAAGGGACTGCTCATACCTGACAAGACAAAGAGGCACTCAGCTAGCTTTTTAAAAGTTAAAGTTGAAGCGACAAACACTTGACGCATATGCGTCTATTTCGTTAGGACTTCCAAACCACTCTTTCTGAAACCCTCGCTGAGTATCCATTGAAACCACTGAAATATATTTTTTAAAACTAGGAATACAAACTTTGAGATTCCCGTCTACATAAATAGGAGCCACAATGATCAATTCCTTGATTGTGGCCTTTCAGATATAGAAAAAGATATAACCTATTAATTAAATAAAACATTTAAAAATATTGCTTTTTTGTAATTGATGTTGAATCAATTTCTATAAAAAGAAAAGAAAAAAATCCACTTATTCCGTAATCGAACACAAATGTACACGAGTTTTGGTACAGTATAAGTAATTGTATAAGCTAATTATTTGATGAGGTAAGATTTTCGTTTTATTCTACCGATCTAAAAAATGGAAGGCATATTGAGCTTGTGGATACCTGTTATTATGACCCTACAATCGATTTTTTGTCAGTAATGCAACTGAATCAATCATTTGAAAAAAAAGATATTTTAATAAAATTAAATTAAAATAAACGAAAACTTTCAATGCATTTTAAATGTACACTGTGTAAACCAGACTTTTCTTATTTCCTAGAGAAGTTTCAATATAATATAAGCATGTGCTTACGTTTCTAAAATCTTCAGGTTTTAAGAAACGTTTATCTCTTTATAATGTAGGCCGAACAGAACGTTTAAACTCCATCGAACTACAAAGTAAACAGTATTCATTAAATGAATTTATAATTTATTACAATCATACTAAAATATTAAAGATTACGTATAATTGACCACAATTAAATAAAAAAGAATCCGAAGATAAAATATACTCTTGATCCTTCATATATATTTATGTAATATTATTTATATATATAATATATCTGTGTGTAAAGATATATATATATATATATATATATATATATATATATATATATATATATATATATATATATATATATATATAGAACAAAATATTATATATATATATTATTTTTTATATATATAATATATATGTGTGTATATATATATATATATATATATATATATATATATATATATATATATATATATATATATATATATATATTGCAAAAGATAACGTATAAATGTATTTGAAATCTCACACATTGTGTTATTGTTATGTTTATATAATTATTCAAAATTAAAATGCACGTCATTTTAATGCAATCTGTTTAAAGATAATATTTATAAAAGAATGTTCATAAACTCATGCACAATGTTCACTTTCGTCCCCCAGATCTGAATGCTGTTACAACAAGGTTGGCACTAAATGATGCTCCAATGACCTGTCCAACAACTGTTCCTCCTGGATCGGTTATTATGTTCCAATGTCAAAAGTCTCCCAGTCCTTGCACCGTGTCAATTTCATTAAACGACACAGAGGTAGCCAAAAGTGAACACAATGCGACGTACACAGTGTCCAACGATCTAACGTCGCGTTCAACACACAATTTTACATTTTCTTATTCTGTTTGTGGAGCACCTGCTAATCACACAACCTGTCCTGTAAAGATAGGTAGCTATATATTTTTAAAATTTCTTAATTTAACTTCTGATTAGTGAAGTTCATATCATTACACCAAAATGATCTGCATAAATTGAGGCTAAGGTGTTTGTTCCAAAATTTAATAAGTCTCTTTTTATAAATACTAGATATACACACTGTGATTAGTATAATATATTTTTAAAAAATCTCTAAGTAAGGAAGGTTTTAAAAACTGGCTGTTCAATATTGTTTACAAGAATAATTTCATTCCCATTTAATTTTTAGATACATATTTTTGTTTAATTTAATGTTTTTTTTAAAGTACTTTAAAATAGGTTTAGGTTTGTAGAGAGCTCACAGACCTGTTGTAGCTTACAGAGATAGTTCTTGTTGTTGCAAACATAAACCTGAACTCTGCAAATGTATAATATAGTATTATTACAGAATACCCCAATTAAGTATTGTTTATTAGTAGATTTAGTTTTTAAAAAATCAACTTTAAACTATTTTATTATTAATTAAATGAATTTAAAAAGTATGTAAAACACCTGAAAAAATGGCAAAAAAATAAATAAAAAGGAAGCAAGAAAAGTGTTTGTAAAGAGCCTTCGCTGGAGAGCAAACAACGAGGGAAAAATAAACAGAATTAAAATGTAAAACAATAGCACTTAGCTGAAAAGTATAGCATAATTAAATTTAAAAAAATAACAGGGAGTGTGTCCATTCTTCACCAAGGCCGCAGGCCGAAGGTCATATGATCAAATGTCTAATATATCTGAATGATAATGAAATTAAATTGTCACATAGAAGGTAAAATATAATTGGTAAGCATGATTGACCCTTTTATTTATTTATCTATCTCCATGACAATCTTTGGCAATTTTGAACGATTTCATTATATATTAATAAACATTCTTGGAACACATACAACTTTTTATCAATGGAGGCTTGAACTGCGAAAAGAATTGTTTCAATTTAACATTTGTACATGTCCTTAAATAACTAGATATGCATTTAGTAAGTAATAAAATGAAAAAAAAAAAGGAAACTTTTGATTCACCTTAATAATATTGCATGGTACAGCTGAACATTTATTATTAGATGCATTTTTATAATAACTTGAAATTGTATATCCTAATTTTTTCTACATGGCCACGACAATAGAAAATGGATCTGTTTCTTCAACTACCACAATCCCGGGTATGTTATTAAAAGTTTTATGTTTCTATGTTGCAATCCCAATTTTATCCATCAAATATTGTCTAAGAATATCATAAGACACCAACTCAAGACTGTGGTCTGTGTAACAACTAACCTTTATTCATCATTCGTCATTCGTTTTACACCTCACATAACAGGATCACCCACTCGAGTTCTCCAACCAAAACTGACACATTAAAGTTTTCAGTGTTCGCAGACAACACATGATATTTATTTGATGCATCTTGTGATTACTTTAAATTGTATCTCTTACTTTTTTCTACATGGCCACAACAATAGGAAACGTATCTTCTTCTTCAACTACCAAGATCACGGGTATGTTATTACAAAATTTATGTTTATTTTTTGTAATCCGAATTTTATCCATCAAATAGTGTGGTCTGTGTAACAACTACCATTTATTCATCATTATTTGTATACCTCAGATAACATGACCATCCACTCCAACCAATACTCACACATTAAAGTTTACTCATTTACAAATACAAATCACCACGTCCAGTCAGACAACATGACAACAAGAAAGTTCAATTAATACACATTAAAACACTCATCGTAATTCACTAATACTGTAACAATTTGAACAACTACTCAACAAGAAACACATTTAAGTTGAACGTAAAATATTAATAAGTGGACACTATTGATTAACTTTATAAAATATACTTATTTAGGTATCATAATATATATAATAAAGAAAACTGCATCGTTTAGATTATCATTATTGTTAGAAATATCTTTATATGGCTTTAAATTTTATCTCTTACTTATTTCTACATGGCAACACCTACAGGAAGTGTATGTCGTCCTGGTACTTCAACTACCACAATCATTGGTATGCTTTTAACATTTTTATGTTTCTATTTTGTAATCTAAATTTTAGATTTCAAGCAATCAGTCCTAACTTTCTAAATAAAAATCTTCTCTCTATAACCGCCTTAATATATTTTAGCTAAACTTAATATATTGGTATGCTTCAGGCGTAAGTCACATTTGTTTTCCAATACAATAATTGCTAATGTTGTGTAATAGTTACAATAACAAATACTCTATTGACAAATCCAGAATCATCAGGAAAAATTAATCTAACAAGTTTTAATCGGTAAAAAATAAAATGTTTGCACAAAATGTAAATACAAATGTTCTATTTTTACACTGTTAACATACCAGCTATCTTTAATTTTTTTTAGTGGATTTTTCACAGTAAAAATAGATAAATCCTTCTACTTCCTGTAATCTCGTTTTTGGAATAGCCAACTTAAAACAGTATCATTTACCATTTTTTTAATTGCGATCTATTAGTTTTCAGTTCATCTTGTATAATACATTCAAACCTTTTGAAGATAAACTGTTGTGCATGATTTAAATATTCTTAAATATCAAACATGTTTAAGAGAACCATCTATAACAACATTCGACATATTTTTTAATCAATAAAAATGTTCGCCTCACGGTTATAGGTGTTTTTTGAATTAAATTCAATAATAAAAATATTAATAGAGTAGGAATTCCATTAGCAGAAACAAAAACACTTGCTATAATGATATAACGATCTTTTTTGTCCCTGGTTATTGTTGTCTTTTTTTGTTATTTGATGTGGCAAAATAAAGTAACAATCCTATTTGTTATACAAAGCTGAAATAGAAAATCAGTTGTTTTTTTGTTGGTTTTTTAAGATACATTATCGGGAAAAAAATGATAATTTTAAGTTTCTTAATATTTTGTTACTTAGGTTTTAATTATTTTTTTTTAAAGTGAAAAAAAAAATGTTTTATTTCGAATACTGCTGTTTACTTTTTCCAGTATAGCTAGGATGGGATGAAATTTATTGAAAATAGTATGATTTTTTTTTTTACTGTTTGAATTTTCTAGGCAATGTACCAACAATAATGTTTAACTGTAACAGTAAAAAAGTTTACTTACTGCCTATTGTAATATTCTGTTTTTATTTTAAGATGTATAAACGGATTGATGAAAACTAAATAACTGCTTCCGAAAATTTTCTGTTTTTCCCTTTCCTATCAAGTAATTCAAATATTTTGTGATAATTTTTTGGAAAGGCGCAGTCTTTATGTTATGTTTTAATTGTTTTTATTTCATACTAGTAACATAAACATATATATACATAAATACACGTTTTCAATCAGGTGTTGACTTTTTGCTTGCGTCCGGAACACGGCTCATAAACACACACTCTCTCTCCAGTCTCGCATGTTTCCTTGGCTGGCTATCGGTACTGGCCAGTCAGCTAGTCCACCATAACACTTTATCTAACCATTTTTATTTGTAACGACGCTTACCTACGTTTTATAGGAGAAGATTATTAACAAACTAAGGGCATTGATTTATTTTTGTATGTTATAAAATGAATGGAAACTTGAAATATATATTTCAAAGAATAATATCACGAAAATTAGGGCTTCTTCTATATCTTAAGGGCCCACGATCAATTTATTGATCATTTTGGCTCCTATGCATGTAGATGGGATTTGCAATGTTTCTGTTACTGGTGTTGATGAGGAAATCATGCACTAGGGGTTTGAAGGCTGGAGGCAATAGACACAAATGTGTCTAGTGTTGTCACCTCAACCGTTCCTTTTGAAAGATTGTTCCAGTCCCTGATTGTCTTGGGCAGGAATGAGCAGCTCCTATACTGGCTTCTTGCTGGTAGGAGCCTGAATTGCCTGTCATGGCCTCGTCGCTGTCTATGGGGGAGAGGGACGAGTTTCTGTTTAATACTGGAACAGTGGACCAGCCCATTATTTATCTTGTACATCATGGAGAGCCTGGATTGTCGTCGTCGTTTCTCCAATGGTGACCAGCCAAGTGTTTCTAGCATGCTGCCAACACTAGAGGTATTCTTGTAGCGGTTTAGGACAAAGCGTGCTGCTCGTCGCTGGACCGCCTCCAACCTGCCAATGCTCTTCTGGGTAAATGGGTCCCAGACTGAAGATGCATAATCTAAAATTGGACGGATAAAGGCTTTATATGCTCTTTTTTCACACAGGAGTTGCCAATCTTTAGATTTTGCCTTAAGAACCCTAGGGTCTTGTTTGCTTGGTTACATACATTGTAAATATGCTCGTCCCAGTGGACCTCTCTTTGAATGGTAACACCCAGGTTCTTTACGGAGAAAACTGGCACAAGTATATGGCCATGCAGTTCGTATTCGTAGTGTAGAGGAGTACAACTTCTAGAGACTGATAGTGTCTTGCACTTGGCAGGGTGAAATTCCATGCCCCAGCTTATCTCCCACTCAGCTAACAGATTGAGATCCTGTTGTAGCTGGTCCTGGTCCGATCTGTTGGCGATCGTCCTATACACTGCAGTGTCATCTGCGAACAGTCTTGCCTGTGATGTCAGTTTCTCGGGTAGGTCATTTATGTGTGCTAGGAACAAACAGGGGCCCAGGACTGATCCCTGGGGGACCCCTGACCTCACATCGACAAAGGAGGAGCTTGACTTTTTACTGTATGTACAGAACAGCATATCCCCAGGACCCCCCACGCCCCCAATACACACACAAATACCGAGGCCTGAGAAATTAGTTCACCTTTTTTTAAGAACAATAAGTTGTATTTTGTTTGTCAGAAAAACATTTTAGTTCCCAAAAAAGCATAGTTGTTGTTTTGTTTTTTTTTAAGCCTTTTCATTTGGACTTGTGTATGTTCATTTTATTTCTTATTTATAATAATCATTTAACACATCTTCTACGTAGTTCTATTTTTACATATTTTTTTAAATTTTTTTATTCCTCTTTAAAAAAAAATACATTTTACCTTAAGAAGTTAAATTTGTAGCTCAAGATAATGTAATATTGGTGTTTTAAAAATGTAGTTATATATTAGTATTACTTTTTTCGTAGGTCTCTCTCTCTCTCTCTCTCTCTATATATATATATATATATATATATATATATATATATACATATATATTTTAAAAATGTAGTTATATATTAGTATTACTTTTTTCGTAGGTCTCTCTCTCTCTCTCTCTCTCTATATATATATATATATATATATATATATATATACACATATATATATATATATATATATATATTTATATATATATATATATATATATATATTCAATCTTTGTATCTCTGAGATATATTAATCTCGCTTTTATGTATATATATATATATATATATATATATATATATATATATATATATATATATATACATATATATATATATATATATATATATATATATATATATATATATATATATCTTCTATCTTTAAAACACTGAGATATATATATCTCTCTTAAATAAATATATATATATATATATATATATATATATATATATATATATATATATATATATAATGTACCTATCTATACCTATGGTCTTGTTATTTTTCAAAGAAAAAAAATTGTAAAATAACAATATTTTGTATAGCATTTGTTTTTATATTTTAAAATATATGCTTAATCAGATGTTACTATACTATGAATGAGTTTTAAACCACAGTTGAATATCTTACTTATACTCTTTATTGAAAAGGTTGCAATATTTTTTGGAAAAAAATGAAATAAAGTAAAAATAAACTATTATTTTTTTCGTTAATTTTGTATATCATAACAATAGTAGGCTACCAATTTTTTTGTATCTGTAAACACTTCAATAGAATCTATCATTAGAGCAAGCAGACTTTAAATAATTGCGATCGTGACATTAACGAACACAAACATCCTGGTGAATTTGGAACACACGCTTATCCTTACCATTGGCACATTGACACCACATGGCATAAACGTCATGTCTTTATGCACGGCTTGATCCTAGCTCCATCCCTTCATTTCTAGGCCAATGGCATTGAACTATCCTATCCTCTTTTCTTACCTTTTTCCATATTTAATGCCTCACTTACTTATTTTCTGTTACAATTATTTTGTCGTCATCTCGGATACTACTTCTCAACTAAGTGCTCTTATTTTATTTTATATTATTAAACATTGCTTTCTCCTGTTTTTTTCGCTAAGAAAGGTTCCAGCCGACAAGTTCGATGATTTAAACCTACATTTGTTTTACTAAGTTCCAATATTTAAACACTAACTAAGACTAATTCTTAGCTTCCATTTTTTTTTCTTCAAAATATTTATACCATAGTAATAATAAATTATTTTTAATGCAGGCGTGGAGTCTATATTTAATTATTCGACCTCTGATAGGCGTTAAGCCCCATATAATAAACTTAACATGTTTTGTTCAACTTGATAGAAATAAGGTGAGATCCACTTGGAGACTTCTCTTGAGAAAAGAAGCAACAAACAATTAAATAATAAATGAATGTAAATAAATGAGCACTTCCTTGTATGTGTGTCAATTGAAAACCACTTTAAAAAAATATATTTAAAATACATTCTATTATGTCCTAGAAATAACGAGGCAACTGTAGAAAGTTATATTTTAGCCTGACAGGTGTACACATCGTAACATTTATGACCCACTTTACAATAGGAAGTAAAACCTGGTCCAACGCACGTATTTTCGGTGTCGGAGCTCTGTTTGGATTGATCAACAAACTGAACTTTTCAATCATGTTTAGACGGGGGGAAATCATACTTTAAAAATAATATTTAGCGCGTACGTTACATTTACAAAACATAAAATGTTCATTTTGTTTAAACGGCGAATAGCTCCACCAGTAAGTGTTTAACCTCGTATTAGAATTACAATTCGAAAAGAACACTTTAGAGACAGCGCGAGGCATTAACGATGAGCTAACATGACTACCTTCCGTGGGATCACTTGAAGATACAACATGGTCTAAATAAGTTAAAATTTTACCAATAATATTTTAAATGGTTGTTTCTTTTTTTTTCCTTAGCCCGATTATATTAAACTAAAGCTTCGTGACCTACGCCAGTCTTATATTGAACAATTAGAAATACAAAAGATACTCAATAGTTCTGGTTCTGGTAGTGTGCGTTCCTGAATCAATGTACTGGCATCTGTGCAACGGTTGGGGGTATAATGTTGCTATTCTAACAGTTCCTAGCTGATGCCAGGGCAGCCTTAAATGTTTCGACTGATATCGAGTTCACAGTGGCATTGTTCAGGTGGTTACATGGTATTATGGTGCGTTGGAAGAAAGATTGTCGATACTTCACTGTTTTGCACTGAGGCACTTTGAAACATTTGCTATTCTTTCGGATGTAATTGTTAATGGGAATGTCAGTGGTGAAGCCATGTTCAGTGAGCGTTTTACTCTGATCAGTCTACCCCGCTTTTGTGAGGTGAGGTACATGCCTGCTGAAATGGCCGGCACCAGTTCCAAGACCACTTTATATAAGAATATCAGGCGGAGTCCCTCTCGTCTGTCTTTAAGGGGGGGGGGGTGTCAAATCTTTTTAAGAGGCCAGTGACGAAGCCAGGAGTTGTGGATTTGTAGTGACATGCCTGGTGAAATGGCCGGCACCAGTTCCAAAACCCCTTTATATAAGAATATCAGGCGGAGTCCCTCTCGTCTGTCTTTAAGGGGGGGGGGGTGTCAAATCTTTTTAAGAGGCCAGTGACGAAGCCAGGAGTTGTGGATTTGTAGTGTCGAGCGATAAAACGCACCGCGTTACGTTGGATTCGCTCCATCTTGTCCACGTCTTGCTTAAGGTGTTGTTCCCAGATGTTCGCACCATATTCTAGTAGTGGACGGACCAGTGCGAGATAGGCATTTCGTTAGCAGGAAGTTGGGCACTGGCGCAGATTTCTTCGGATGAAACCTAGGGTGGAGTTGGCCTTTTTTGAAAATTGGTTTATATGGGGTGACCATTTTAGGTTGCTTGAGAAGAGAATTTTAAGGTATGAACTATTGGATTCTTGTTGGAGGGTTATCTCGTTTAGTGAGTAAATATAGGTTGATGTTTTAGCATATTCTAATGGTTTTTTCAACATTATAAAATTATTAAACCTTATTCTGAAAACTGAATCCTGATAAGCAACTAATCTTCCTTTACTAATAGTTTGATACTATACTTATTACATAAATTATGTAGGTTGTATGAAACCATTGAATACGTTGTCTTCGATCGTGTTCTTCTTCCAATCATATTTTATATTATTTTAAGAAAAGAAAAAACCAACCAAAAAAAAAAATCCTAATAACTGTGTTGAAAATATCACTTCACCGCGGTCGGGTCAAATTGATTTATGTAATTGTCAATGTAATTGAATATTTCTACAGCTTTTGACTTGTCATATTTTTTTTAAGAAATTATGTATTCGTTGCTATTTAATTGTCAAACATGTGATTGTCATTGTTTTTTATGGCTGTTTTTTCATTATTTTGCAAATAGAACACTATTTTCCTTTTTTTGATGAACTTTTGACTGTTTCATTTCTTTGTTAGTTCAATCAATTGCTCACTCTCTTAGGACTAATTGATAAAAGAGGATTTTGGCATGAATGACTTTTTTTAAATTTAAGCATAAAGGATGAGAATGAACAATCATTTAAATGAATATACGTATTACTGATAATAAGATGAAATGACAAAATCAAAAGTAAACTCATGCATTTACATATATGTAACTTAATAACATGTTC